TCGATGGCCCTGGTAAGATCGGTGTTCCAAGTATTCACCAGGGCTTCGGCAGAATCACTGGCGTTACCGACCATGAAACCCTCTAAGGCCTTCTGGAAACCAGTGGGTTCCATGTGCCTTTGAGGGCAGACCATTCTCATAGGTCCGCCACCCCCGAGTGGGGCGATGGTGGCCTTTAGCTCTATCTAGCTCTTATGTCATGGAGTGGATATTATATTACACTTGGAGTAGGACCTATTATGGGGCCTTCGACAAATGGAATGGACTTGCTTTGTAATGCAGCTGTAACAGAACTCCTTGCTAATATAATGAAAAAACTTTTTTGTACTCTGAAGCTGACAAAATACAGGGAACCTGTATTTATATTGAAATGTAAAGCTAGAGGGCCAACACAGTTCTGCAGACAAAATGGGGAAAGATGATCGCACATTGTTCTGTGGTCACTATGTTTGTCTATCTAATTGTGCATGCCATTACCTCCTTTTTATTGATTCTAGCAATTAAAATATTTGTGTTCATCAGAACTACAGCATCTTTTGTGCCCTAATTTTATAATAATTCTGTTCAGTGGGTTCCTTCCTTGGATTGATAAATATGTTTAAATAAGAGTGGGAGTGGAAAATGGAAATGAGCCTGTTAGATAAAGAAGAATTGGTTTTACATGTTCAAGGCTAGGGTGATATCAAAGATAGGGAGGACCAATGCCTTTTTGCTTTTGGCATGTACTGTTATGGGTTACATTAAAATTCCAGGTGTGATTGGACATTTACCCTACATTTTTTAGTGTGTACACTCAGTTTCTCTGCTAAAGGACTGGATTGTATTCATACTGTTTGCACCAGAACAAAAACTTTCCAAATAATATGGATCTTTACTTTACTAGCAGTAGCATCCTGTTTTATAACTGAATTTCAGACATATAGGCCCAGATTGTGGAAAAGTTGGTTGTGCTTACTTGCTGTTAAAATCAATGAGACAAGTTTGATACGTTCAATGTGTGTCCCACTAATTTCTGTGGGACTAGATTTCTTTGGACTTTGTAGTCTTGCATTTTCTAGTCCCATGCTGGCTCTCTGGTTGCTATAACGCTTAGAAAGGATATGAATGTCAATGAGTTTGGTGGATCCAGTATTCATTGAGATCCTTTTAAATGGAAGAAAGAGCATTTTTTCAGTGGATTCATGAATAAATTATGAAAATTATACATTTTAATCTGTTTTTTAAAAATCTATATCACAGCCACTTAATTCTGAAAATATCCCTTTCCAGGTGTGATTTAAAAATGTTCGGACGACCATATTTTAAAAGGTGGAGATAGGTAAATGTTCTTATACATTCCCATAGCCCTCTATTTCTTCATGTTGTTCTGAGAAAATGGAAAAGTGGAAAAATAAGAGGAAAGTAACATGGCCAGCACTTGAGCTGTTGTAACAAATTCAGCCAAGACAATGAAGAAATAGAAATAGTAAAACACTTCCCATACCTGGGATCAAATATTGATAGGAATAGGGACTGCAGCCAAGATATCAGAAGAAGATTAAGAATGGGGAGGGGGGCTATGAAAGAACTAGAAAAGATCCTAAAATGCAAAGATATACAACTCAGCGCAAAAGTTAGAATCGTATAAACCATCGTATTCCCTATTACCATGTATGGATGTGAGAGCTGGACAGTTAAGAAAGGTGAAAGGAAGAAAATCAATTCATTTGAGATGTGGTGCTGGAGAAGAGTGCTGAGGATCTCATCGAAAAAAGAGCCAAAAAGAGAAACAAATGGGTCCTAGAGCAGATCAACCCAGAAATCTCCCTGGAAGCTAAGATGACAAAACTGAGGCTGTCGTACTTCAGACACATCTTGAGAAGGCTATCTAATTGTGCATGCCATTACCATTATTGGAAAAAACAATAATGCTAGAAAAGGCAGAGGGTAGTAGAAGGAGAGAAAGAGAGTATGCCAGACTCAATTAGGGAGGTCGCAGGGCTAAGCAGAACAGTGGAAGATAGCAGGGCTTGGAGGTGTCTCATCCACAGGGTCACCATGAGTTGGGGTCTATTCGAGGACAGTTAACAACAACAAAATACTTAACAGTTCAAATAATTATGGAGTTAGATTTGCACTTTTTAAAACAATACTCGAATCATTCTTAATGTTGCTAACTCTTTTTCTTGAGTCCCAGTATTGGTGAAAAGGAGGAGTATAAATGAATAAATAATTTTCTCTTCTACACCAGAACTGGTGTTTTCATTGTGATATTTCAGTTTTTCCTGTATAATAGAATCTGCTCTAGAATTCACCATAAATGTAATTTAACTGCGGTCAACCCTCCGTATCCACGGATTCAACCATCCACAGCTTGGAATGTTTTAAAAAATAATCTAAAAGGCAAACCTTGATTTTACCATTTTCCAACACCATTGTAGGATTCAAGCATCCATGGATTTTGGTATCCATGGGGGGTCCTGGAACCAAACCCCAGCAGAGACCAAGGACCCACTATATTTAGAAGATAGACAACTACCATAAATTACAAGATTGAGGAGCCATGTTTCTTGCATTAAATTAGATTTCCATTAGCAAAGCTAAGAGGAGGGGAAAATAAGGGAACTACTGAAAGTATTAAAAACATTATTTTCAGTCTAATGAATATTGCAGTTCTAAATGGAATTACATTGCTTACAGATAAACAAAACAAGATGAATTTTGATTAATAAAGTCTTGGAAGTGTTTGTCAAGTATATTTAAAGGCCAATGTGAAACTAGTTTGTGTGGAAATGTTTAATGTTATTGACAAACTGTTAAGATGGTGGATTTTGCACATTTCCTCTTGTTTGTTTTATAGTGCTGTTAGCAAATTGTTAATTTGGCTCATATAGAGCATCCTGAGCAATATTCATGTTTCCCATCTAGAAGAAATGACTAATGGAAAATATTCCATTCTCAAGCAAGAAAGATTTGGCAAGATTTTTAGACTATTTCTGCAAATTATTAAAAACTGGTGTATCATCATGTAACAAAATGGATAAAGAGCAACTGACTATGTTTCACTGTTTAAAGATCACCCTCACTGTTTGGATTTTGTTTTTTCACTGGCTTTGTTATACTCATTATTTCTTATTCACACTTATTCTGTTACTAGCAAATCTGAAGGTCAATATTTCTGAATGGTGTTTCTGTTCCTGAGTTCAGAGCATTTGTCAACCGCCCGGATTGGTTCGCCACAGGGCGGTATACAAATAAATATTATTATTATTATTATTAATTATTATTATTATTATTTGATGAATAATGAGAAGTATATTTAGATGGAAGAGTTGTCGTAGGATGTCTAACAACATGAGGAAGCATGGGCTTTCTTTTGGATTTTGCTCTTTGCATCACCATTTTTGGCTTGATTCCTAAGCACCCCATCCTTTTGTTGAATTGTTTTTGCACCAATGGATATTCCTGCCAGTGATGGTCATAGGAATTTCTATTGATTACTTTTTCAATTCTTTGTTATTATTGTTGTGTGCCCAAGTAATTTCTGGATTCTTTATGGCAACTCTAAGGCAAGCCCATCATGGGATATTCTTCTCAATAATTGTTCAGGGCAGGGGTTGACTTTCTTTGAGGCTAAGAAAGTATGATTTGCCCAAGATCACCTATTGGCTGAGCAAGGATTTGAACCCTGGTCTCTAGAGTCTTAGTCCAACACTCAAACCACCATGCTACTCTCTCAATCCTTCGAGCCCCCCATATTTAAAGGGAGGTGGCCCTAGAAGATTGTAGAGAGGAAGATAACTAGTGAAAATTGCCTTTTAAAAAAACTTTTATTGAAAGAAACATAACTCAATAAAGCTCCACAGAACAAAATAAAATTTAAAGACTGCCAGCATTCCATAACAAAACATATAATTGCATATACATTGCAAATATTTCTTTTTCTGTCCTTCAAGTAAAGATGTCATTCCAAAGACCAACATGGCCTCTTCTCTCACCAGCAGTGTGTCCTATGGTAAATTCATATTTGTCTATGTTATTTTTAAAGAAGAATTAACATAACGCACTCAGACCATCTATGAGTGAGAATCCCATCCGAGCTCAAAAGAAGTGACATAAGAAGTCCAGGATGGGGTCTGCTATGTTTTACCTTTTGACAAATATTATGTGAGCCAATATTTTCCGCTCCCATTATCTTAGCCTGAACATATTATATGTGCCACTTAGATCGTACTTGGGAAGTATGAACCATCTCTCTTAACCTAGGGTGTTCTATGACATGCTCTTGACTTTCTCTTGTTCTTAAGACTGTAAAAGTGTAATCAAATATTTAAAATACCTAAAGAAGAAGAACTGAAAGTTCTGAACTAGATGCAGTAGTTTTCTAACTCCCAAATAGATTTTGCACCTATTTGCACCCTATATATTGTTTTAAATTACCATCCTGTCCTTTATCCAAGATATTCAGAACAGTATATATTCTGCCTTCGCTTGTTACCTTCCCCTCTCCTTTCATTTACTCTCACAACAATCTTGAGGGGTAGGTTAGGCCAGTAGATATCAGGTGTCAATATAATCATACAAAACTGTTTACAGTTTATCTACTGAGGCATCTCCTTTTCAGATCACCATGTATTAAACTGTATGCACTTTTCTTTTCTTTTCAGGTACGTTGACTAAAAATAAAAGTTTGGATAACAGTTCAAAAGAAGTAGTTCCCAGGTATTATAATACTTTACCTTGTTAAGTTGTTTCTATCTATAGGCTTCCATATTTGTAAGCACTGAACACAAATTACAAGTGTGTTGTGTTATCTACTGAGTCTTTAAAATGTTTGTAAATATTTATATTTATAGTTTCAGCAAATCTAGTGCTGTAGTACAGAATCCATTTCCTCCCACTCCAGAATAACATAATGGAGTTCGGATTGGAGATTGCCAGACTTCAGACTTGTGATATCTGTCTTGTTTTTTATTAAAAACATTGAGGTCTACCAACCTGAAGCAAACACACAATGGTGATTCAGGAAGAGTTAATTACATGCAGTTTTTCTGGATGCAGACAAATATATTTGTGAGTAACATGAGAATACTAGAATGAGGGTTTATAACACAACTCTAAAATTGGTTTGTAGAGCAGACCAAAAACCTGGTCAAACCAAACAAACCAATTTGTAGTCTGATTTTATAGACTGAGGAGAACTGATGGTGAGACAAAAGCAATTAGCACAAAACCAGACACAACAGAAGGATCTGAAGACTAACTGATATGAAATCATATATAAATGTGTTTCAAAAAGATTTATAGTTTTCTCAATCTGTTTCAGTTATGATTGGTTCCAGACCGATGGTTTGATCACTGTGGTCATATACACTAAACAAAAGGTAAAGAATTATATTTGGTAGTAAAGAAATTGCAAAGCTATGCTCAATAATAATAATAATAATAATAATAATAATAATAATAATAATAATAATAATAATAATAATTTAATGATTTTTCTTCTTCAGCCTTATTATGTCAACTAGCTAAAAAAATTTTTCCTTCCTCTAACAAATCCAGTAGTTTATATGCTGTTCCATATGCCACCTAGAAAACTGGTATGATGCCCTATTCCTCCTCCTAAACCCTTTCATAAAATCCAGTTTGTTTGCCAAGTCTTTCACAGTGGCCCCAATTCTTCAACCCTGATTGAAGCTAAGCACATAGAACTTAATGAATACTCATTGCTCACCCATTTAATCTTTCCTGCACCTTCCCATCATCATGACACATCATGAAAAAGGAGGACTCTTTGGAAAAAACAATAATGCTGAGAAAGGTGGAGGGAAGTAGGAAGAGAGGAAGGCCACATGCACTAGATGGATAGACTCTACTAGGGAGGTCACAGGTATTAAGAGGTTGTAGGACTTAAGCAGAGCAGTGGAGGACAGAGGGTCTTGAAGATGTCTCATCCATAGGGTTGTCATGAGTCAAGATTGACTCAAGGGCAGTTAACAACAAAAAACAACAAAATTCCTAACAACATCTGGAAGTCCACTGTTTCCCCAGCTTTGGTTTAAAGCTTTCAGCCCAAAGACCAGATTCAATTTCAGAGAAATTGTCAGTGGCTGTATATCAGTTTTTTTAGGACCAAAGCCAAAAAGGCAAGAGAACAATTCCAGAACTTTTTAGCTTAGACTTCTGCCATTAATCATTTATTCCTTTTAGAATGGGAAAACACCAAATCATAGAAAGAGAATGTATGGCATTCTTGTTGACCCCCTCAGGAGGTCAAATTCATCCAAAGGCCTAAGGTTTGCAACCATTGGTTTAGAGCAGGTTCCCAACCTTTTTGCCTCACAGCCCTTTTTAGAATCAGTTTCTATGGCAGAGCCCATAAGAAGCCTACCCTCTGTCTTACAAGTTAATAGTATTTAGGAGTAGTGTTACGGTGGGTGGGGGAGAGATGGGATAGATTGTATTTTTCCTAGAGTGGCTGTGGAGCACATGAGAAGTGCACAAAGAGCCCTAAGGGCTCCTTGAAGCACAGGTTGGGAACCACTGGTTTAGAGTAATCACTCCACAGCAGGGACTTGTGTGTTACTTTGAATCACCATGCTTATTGGTAGTGTGCTATTGATGATGACAATAAAGAATCACTCCTTAGTTTTATCAATTCTCCCGTAATGGTTTTGTTTTCCTTCCATTTTTAAGGATATGAATTCTGAATTGGTGATAGCTGATCTTCAAGATGGTAAACTGAGAGGGGAAATCATAGTGAAGGATTACTCATACCTTTTCCATGTTGGTAAGTGTTTTACTAGCAAAATATTTTAGTTAAATGTTATTCATTTAAAAAGCATTAATGCACTACGGCTGCATTGAGTATAGTAGTTATCTCAGTGATACTTGTTTGTGAAGTTGTAATGGGAGGAGCAAGGAGAAAACTACTTGGAAATATGTTACTATACTGAGTGACTCTTGGATGAATGGGTGTGAAGCAATGCTTGGAACAACAGAGGGCAGCCGATCCCAACATAGAGAACTCTATGATGGGAGGGAGATTTTTATAAAGAGAGAGCTTAGAGTTGACAGTTGGATGAATCAGAGGAGAGAGAGTTGGGCTGCGTCTGCGCTGCAGAAATTATCTAGTTTTACACCACTTTAACTGCCATGACTCAATGCTATTGGGTTCTGGCAATTGTAGATTTGTGAGACATTTAGCCTTCTCCAGTATCAGACTGGAATATTTCTGCCGCCTCACTTATGAGTGAGTGTGTACTGGGTATCTGAATTGATTGAAGGAAAATATCTGACATAAGTGAGGTAAATATTGTTATATGTAAGACTAGAACTTGTTGAAGTATTTAATATTTTACTTGATATAATAAACCACATTATTTATCTCATTAATTTGTTAACTCTGACTGGCTTCATTCAGGCTAAATCAAGGGGTGGTCATACTTACCATGCAGAGCACAAAGCTAACGTATACACTTGTCCACCATGAGATCTCCTGGAGACACAGTCACCCCAGATCCAAGGAGCGATTCTGAAGGGGGACTTTGGTCTACAGTGAGAGTGGCAGATCTCCAAGGCTAGGAACTGTAGGTTCAGCCTTGGGAAGGCCAACATCACACTGTTCAATGTTAATTGTACCTGAACTGTGATGCACCACACATATGCAAGCTTTTATATTAAAAGTTTGGATCCAAAAATATGCATATCTAAAGCTTATTTATTTAGTTACCTATTAAAATAGCTAAATCCTCCACTAGACTGCAAGATCTTAGGAGGGTGTATAGGCAAAATCAAATATAGCCCAGTTTTAAACAGAACATATTGATAATTAAAAATAAAGTTGTTATTTGGACAAAATCATTACATCTCAAAGAATCATTTATGTACCTATAGTGGCAGCCTTGTATATTAATGTAAGAAAGCATTGCAGTGTAGCTAATGTTACGTTTTTATCATTTTATAACTTGGTTTATACTATGACCCCAGTACAAAGTGTCATCTTCACATTTAACAAACTTCAAATAATGATACACATTGAAACTTGAGTTTTATATTTATTTTTATTACATATTAAATCAGAATACATGTTTCTGTTTTAGAACTGAGTTATGCAGTTCATGAAGATATCATAGGTAAGTAAGTATCCCTTCCCATGGTCATACTTTTATTTTAAAAAATCCATCTGGTTAATAAATTCATTAGTTGATGATGTATTTTGTATAAGAAGTAAGAATATTCCATACTGTTTTCATGCCAGATGTTACCTATTATATTGAGATAGCCATCTAACAGACATTTAAATGAAGGCTTTCTATTATAGTTTCCCCTTCAATATGAAATGTATCCCATGTTAAATCTGTTGATGCAAATATATGTTCATTGCTGTGCTCATAAAGCAACAGATATGTGGGAACTTAAGCTTCTGTTTACTGTACCACCAGTTCTTATGACCTCAGATTTGCTCCATCACACACAGTTTTTTCACAGCTAGCTTTGTTGTTTCTGTGTTATAATGTATGACTGAAAGAAATGATTCTGCAGTGAATTATCCTGCAAAGAGTCAGAAATAAGTTAAAGTCTTCTAAGAGACTTTCAAAATACTTCAATTCGCTGATATGAAACACAAAAATCCATTCAAAAGCACTAAAAGAAATTGCATTGAAACATCAGGGTCCACACTTAATCAAAGCTGAGCAACAACTGAATTGATAAAAGGATTAAATTTGTGAAAGAAC